GACAGATTGCAGGGTGGATACGAAGCGTAATCTTCGAAGTTCAAGTCGCCAAGTTCAGCTTCGAAAGGTTCATGTAACAAAAATGGTCAAGGTACAAATTGGTTCATCGGTTTATGAACGCTGAAGTCGACGAGATTGTATGGGTCCCTGTCGATTAGTGGTTTAAATCATCACGTTGTGGATCCTGCTCCGTGAAGCCGGGCGTTCGACTCTCCCCAGGGACATATTTTTGACCTTCCGTTCTCAGCAAGAATACATTCGTGAAGTGTCGACAAGCGAAGATTCCGTTGGGCTCGGTCGAAATTTATTCTTTTACGAGGTCCTCATATGCATCTCTAGCTCTATAGTCGTGTGTAGGTCCTTGCTTGGAAGAATTCTTCAACATTCTTATCTCGGTATGTAGCTACTCCTTTCAAGTAGGCGATATTGGGAATGCGATGAGCGCATACTACCCAGCCTGCGACGCAGTCTCTGAAGGAACAAACCCAATTATGCGCAGTGAGCGCAGCGAGATATCTCCGCCTGCATTGTTTTTGGTAGAGGCTGTGCGACGTGTCTGAATAATCTGGTCACAGTTGTGACATGCCGCGCGCAGCATCAACGGCACCAACAACTGCGCAGGAATGCGAATATTTGGACCAACTCCCGTCATTGTTGAACCAATCTTGCTCTAGACCATGATCGTAGGCAAGGATGGCGAAATAGCAGAGGACTCGTCTTCTGTTGCAGAGGCACCACCAGCATACGAGACAATTTCGACGTCAGATGCCAATGCCGTTCTCGAAAAGCGGTATCGACCTGTACCTCCTACAACAGAAGACAGATCTCTACCAAAAACCCCGATGTCAGCTGCGGGAACGAGCTCGACGAAGAGTTCTTGGTCGCTCCTCGGGATTGCCGCGAAGGATTCGCAAGCTCGCACCGCTGCTGAGGTGCGGGTCTCTGTGCACGGCCTCATTCGACATCTCATCAAGGGACCGGCTGGATCAGAAACTGGCATAGACGTGGATGCAGATCTGGCGTACGCCTATGGCCTTCTGGATTCATGTCGAACGACGTGTTTGGCGCATGGCATCTCATTCCAGGACGTGCTTCAGGACCGCTCGATAGAAGGTCATACTCCGCTATATTGGGCCATCCTTCGACGACCACGACGCCGAAAACTATCTTCTACACCTTCGTCTTCACAATCGCTTCCAAAGGATGATCTCTCGAGAAATAGTGTCTTCATCATGTACCTTATCACACTCTCCTCCCCTCTCTCACTTTCTACTCAATCCGATATCCGGCATGCGTGCATCGCCGCGTCCGATCCCGCGCTCTTCCAACTCCTTCGTCACAACCCCCTCACCGGCCTGGCCGCGGCTCACCCGAAAGACGCTATGCTGCTGGGTTTTGCGCAGTGTGACGCGGGCTGCGACGATCCCCTCTCCCCCACTGGAGCAGATTCCAAGGCCGATAAAGGCAGCGCCAAGAGTAAGGGCAAAGAATGGGTTATACCGGACCGTATTGTCATGCATGACGATAGTCCTGGTGACGGCCCGTTCGTTGCACATGTGGAATTGCGCATGTTTCAAACGCGAATGCGCGTCAGCGGCGAGGTCAAAATCGAATTCATCGCAAGAGGTGAGTTGTAATTCATGGCTCGCAACGTTTTTTTTTGTCATTTCCTTTTACCATCAGTCCCTAAGTCTATTGCCTGCTTCGCGATCACTTCCGTGTTCTTGGACAAACAGAAAATCTAATATATTGTGCTTTCAGGTCGCATATGGATCCTCGCATTCTTCACCGTACCCTCAACACCCTCCCAACACAACAACATCGCCTCAAGCTCCTCCCCAACAACATCAGACTCCACACGGCACTACCGCAGCTTCCCACCTTCATCCGCATACTCTCACCTCTCACCAGGCGCCTGGGCAGTCGCGCTCGGCCTCGGCGAACACAGTCCGCCCACATGGGTCGACGCGCGCATCGTCGTGGAAACCGCGCCTCCACCCCCACTACCCAAAACCGAGCCGCAGGAACTCCTTATAGATGCGCCTATTCCGGATATGCGAGACCCGGCCCAGATGGAAGATAGTAGGCAGCAGCAGCAGTCAAGGTGGAGTCTGCGAGGGAAGGAGAAGGAGACGGCGCCTGCGCCTATCGTTGTAAGATTAAAATGCAGGTATCAGCTCACCGCCGAACCCTCGCCGCCATCCACGCCAAATTCATCGCCTGCGACGTCACCATCGTCGCATCGACGAGAAGCCAGGCGCCATGCGGACCGTTTTGATGATGCGGGCCATGACCGCAGCGTTGCAGTCGCGGCGCTCGACGAATCGCCCGTTGGTGGGAAATTGCAATACGAGTACGTCTTTTTTTATGGTCTACTTTATGATAATGTTTGGTTTGAAAGATATATTGATTATGTTGGTATTGGCAGTGGCAACCCTTATATTTCGGCAGATGGGACGTTGCGTGCGCGTCTTGAGGCGCGCTTGACGATGCCAGAGTCGGATTGCGTAATTTGCTGAGACGACTGGCGGAAACCTTGATGTCTTCGCCACGCGCTTCGCGTTGCGCCTTGGAGTGTGCCTCTTAGAACAGATAGAGGTGAATCTGTTGGGCTATTCTATACATTAATATCTCCGTCTAAATCCAACCTCCACATATCACTGAATGTGTTGTATTATGTACTTTGCGTCTCTACGAAGAGACTTCTTTATCGCGATGCTTGATTGCAATAGGCTGCTGTGAGAGCCATATTTGAAGTCGCACAATTCAACGCGATTATGTTGCAAGAGTTTGGCCGGCGGTCGTGGCGGTCGAAAATGACTCGATAGTCTGGTACGTAATATGTAAATTCTCTCTTGTCTCCGACTGTTACGACAAAAAGCACGAAGTTTCTCGAGGCTTTTACCTTCATTCAAGCGATATTCAAGGAATGTCAGCGTTTGACGTCGCGCAGGCACTGGCAGAGTTAGCAGCTTTACGTCCTATCCTCCTCACGGATATCATCTATCAAAGGGTCGAGCCACCAAAACTCGTGACTGAAAATGATTCAAAGTACGTTGACGAGTTGTTTTGACGACTGGCCTGTGGTTCAACCAAATTTCAGTCCGAAGAGCGATGCCGAGCTGAACTTGACTGAACTGAGGGCGGAAATGGACAGAATTCGAGAACTCATAAAGCAGAAGAGATTGAATATCAAACAAAATCTTTGTTCTATATCCGATGGCTCGGAGTATATCAGGAGCCTCCAAGAGCGTAGCCGAAGCCTCTTGCAAAGAGCGGACGCACTGGTGCTGGCATCGGGGAGACCAACTGTCACGCTGCCTACGGAGATTTTGATAAACATCTGTTCCCTGGCGTACGAACCTCGGGAGAGGATGCGCAGTCTCGCAGACGGTCACTTCAAAACAGTGCCAGGCGACTTATGGGATGAAATATGTTGTATGGTCATCCCAGACATTGTACACCTAGGTGTCAATTGGCCTGACTCAACGGAAACTCTTCGGCGGGCTCTTGATGCCTCTGAACCATCTAAGCTTCATATATTTGTTGGCCACATCTATAACCTGAATCACCACGACCTTATAGAAACGGCGTTGGAGTATCAGCATCGATGGAACGAATTAACGATTTATTATTGGGTTGAAACAGAGCTAGAGGGTACACTGAAACAGTGTGCGAAGGTCCTTCCCCTCCTGCGCAAGCTAAAAATCGCTGAACAGCACGGTCCCATGCCTTCGACTTTTGAGTTATGGGGTATGACTGATCACTTGCCGAGATCTCCAAGGATTCAATCAGCGTGTTCCCCAAGTTTACTCATTGGAGCATGTCGCGCACTATATTCCAATCTCATTCATCTCTCTGTCCATGTTTGCCGGGAAACAAACGATATAGGGGAACTTCGCACCGCTTTCCACGGTTTACATTCTCTGAAAACTCTCAAGATTTTGCCACATGGTGGGTATAGTGACAATTTCGAGACCTATCTGGATCATGAGGTGTTGCCAAACCCTCAGGCTGATGTGCTGCCGAATCTCAAGGACCTCGTCATAGCAAGTGACACCATCTCACCCGGTTACGTTAAGTGTATTTTGCAATGCATCCCCAGCCATGGATTGCAGATGATCGTGGCGGACTTCTGCAAACTTGGTCGGAAGGTTGGTCCACGCGAGACGCTGACAACAATCCTGAAGAAAGCAATTGAATTGATCGAACTGGTGGACACTCGATATCCCAACCTCAGTCATATTTCTGTGGTCGCAGGACAACAGGTAAGTTTGTCCCTCGCAGTATTGCTAGTTAGTACATTCTGAAATCATACATCTGCCAGTATGGGTATAATAAACACAGGCGCCGCGAACATTGGGTCGTTAGGGGGTTGATCAAATTCCTTTCCAAACCGACGTCCAAGGACCAATGGATTCTACCACGTCTGAAAAAATTAACGTTGCCGTTCAGTATATCCATGATGTCAAATCTTGTGGACCTGACCCGGCAGCGTGAAGAGAATATGTCGACACTATCCCTTGATGTTGTGGAATTTCGTGAGCAGTATGAAAGTGTGGATTACGGCGCTATAGAGGGCCTTTCAGCATATGTCCACGACGTTGTCATCGTTCGATCTGACATATAGCCAATGTACCAGTTCAATCTGTATCCCAGCATCTTTTCAGAGCGTCCGCACATGGACGGACGGGCGTGCCGCATTGAGGCCAAAGTTAGAGTCAGGTGATTTGGGTCTTACGGCGGCTGCTCGTGTCACACCGCGAGGTTGACAAGTTTTTGGCGGTATGATTATAATATTCTCTTGTAATTTCATAAACAGAAGGGAAGCATATCAGTGTGCGGAGTATGGCTTAAATTCAATTTGACGGTTAGAATCTCCATTCCTTGCATAAATGGTGAAGTTGACTTCTAGGCTTCAACGTTTAATAGCATAAAATTTGTTGTTTATAGCTCCTGTCGCAGCACTTGCGCGGAATAAAATAAATTCAGCAGACCTAGTGCCAGTGCGGGAGTCGAACCCGCGACCTCAGATTCTTCAGTTCCTTCGCTCTAACCAGCTGAGCTAACCGGCATTTGACATATGCACTACTCAAAATTAAGTGCGGAATTTGTGTCGAGTTTGCATCATTTGCTCCATTGTGCCCATACCACCTTGTGTTTATGGGCGTGAAATCAGACCATTATTAAGAGAGAATGACAATCCTCGCTCGTTTAACGGTACGATAGGAGACCACACGGTAAGGACAGCGTCATACACGAGACAGACATTCGGACTCGTCTCATGACGCTCACCAGCGGACAGTACATCCGATCGTTCTCATCGACTAGCCAGGCGCTGGCAGTCACCTAGGCCTGTAGTCGCACGTCCTGGCAGTGTTAGACAGCATTTTTGCAAACATTTTACCCCGCTATTCCGCTGGTGATTGAGCACGGTTACCCACTTTCTTAGCTGGTGACTTGGACCCCGTCTTTTCTGCGTCGATCCGTCAAAATCTTGATTTTTCATTAGAAGAAATAGAATAGAACATCCTCGGTTAAAAATGACATGAGAACATTACAACCAGCCATTGCGTGCATCACTTTTTCATTTATGACCCACAGAATCATCAAATGCTCATGGAATAATCGCTCGTGAAATCTGGATCAAGACATTCATCGCCTCCAGTCGGTACGTGTCAGGTGTGATCGAGATTGAAGGAGCCGGGTCGAGGAACGTCAGCAGGGGTGGGGCCGTCGAGTTCGACGCCCACTGCGGCCAGTCCAAGGCGGACAGAAGACTAATGCTGTTCTTCGGACCGTTGGGGTTGAGCGTATTCACGAAATTCACTATACACGAGATCGCATCAATATGTACCAGCGTAATAGTTTGGTAAAGGATAGATTTACCGAGAGCATCTGTGCCAATAAAATCTGTACCTAGAGCACCGTAGAATTCCGGGACTTCAGAGCCATGGGAAGCTCCGAAGAAAGGAGAGGCTTTGCCACGTTTGTACACTGACAGAGCGGTCGCATATTAAAATCATTGACCACAATGCAGATAGAAAGCAACACGAACAGTATGACCAGGCGTTTTGCGTCTTCGATGCAGTTTGAAGGAAGAAGCGACGGGTCGACTGGAAAACGAGGTCCCCTTGGAAAGATGCGAGACGCTTGAACTCCGGACTTGATCCATTATTTAGGTTGCGGTGCAATATATACGAATAGAACGCAACACATACGTGAGCTGATTGTTCGTGCCAGTATCGTAAGGTGAGCCCTGTCGGTCATACATGAGTAAAGGCGGGAGGAGAGCGATATAGGTAATTACAGCGGTAGGGTCCGAAGGATATGCTTGTACGATCTGAGCCACCTGAGCGTCTGTTGCCCCGGAAACGTAGCTGGGGATGCACGTCAAAATTGATACAATAACGGAGGTAAGGATTCACTCACTTCGTTTTGACATAATTCGCGAATTCGTCGTCAGTTCTGTAAATCATGTTAGCGCCAGATGGAAGAGGAAAGGCTGTGAACCGACGTGATGTTCTTGTTTCCGACGGAGAAGATTCTGTTGAAAATTAAGTCCCGAAGCGTCATTGGAATGAAAAAGCAACGCACGTTCCCTCGTCATCTACATCACCAGTCACAAACGGTATCTTATCACATACGCTCATCAACCAAACAATTTTCAACTAGACCCAAAGAACCAACCTTAGCATACAATCCCTGTGCTACGGAATCCTGGGGATTGCGCTTCAAAAAGACACCATCGACGAGGGGTTTCCACGCAATCGTTAAGCTCTGGAACGCGAACAGGTTCGGCGACTCGTTGACGGCTGCTACGAGCGTGTCGACGGGGACTTCGCGCAGACACTCGAGGGTATCACTTGAAGATGCGCAACCAGTATTTTGGACGAGTTGGTCGTAGTACTGTTGTCCTGTCGTGATATCTTGAGCGGGGATGGGTGATCCGGATTCCTATGACAATAAAAGTGAATATTATCAAAGCTCCAAGGACAAGAGGAGTCATACCATGAAGGCACCGCGGAATAGGCCTTGTGTATTTCCGTCGTTCGTCAACATTTGCAGAGCTACAGAGATGGCTCCAGCGCTTTGGCCCCAACTAAACAGCGCGAGGACGCATGAATGTAAATCATTGAAGCCATTCCTCGGAAGTGTGCTCACATCGTAACCTTCGAGGCGTCACCACCAAATTCCCAAATAAACTTCTGTACCCATTCCAGTGCGAAGCGTTCTGTAATCAGTATGAATTTTAGAATGTTAGAGAAGCGATTGGAAGTAAGTGACGAACGGTCGCGCAAGCCAATGTTACCGATGCCAGCAGCTTTAACTTCTTTTCCCGGTAAGAACCCGAAAGCTGAATGATTGGTATAATCACACAGTACAGGATGGTAAGAAATATGGGCGAACCGTTGAGACGATAGTTGACCGAAACGTAGATTACGGGTTCACCAAGGTCGATCGATCGTTGAACCACTGTGTTACCCGGGTTGTTCGAGGAGTCACCGTCTTCAAATCCGCCTGGCAATCCAAAATCAAATTTCCATCATAAATCTGGCCGCGACTGTTTCGCTTGCCTCCGTATATCCACTACCAAAAAAATCAGTATTGGATAACTGAGCGGAAATTCGCACATACAAATACCACAGGAAGTTGTTTTAAGAATGGTATATTCGCAGGTCGGATGACGTTGACGAAGAGGCCTGAGATTCAAACGGTTAGACACCAAATATTTCTGCATTGTATTGGCAGTCTCACAATCTTCGGAGGCGTTAGTGGCACGTTTCTCCATCCGTTTGAAAAGAGGCGGGAACGGGTCTAATTGCTGGATGCATGACGCGCCGAATGATGTCGCCTGTTTGATGGCCAACGAAAAGCTAGGCGCCTGGGGCGGTGCAAAGCGTAATTTCCCAACTCTAACCGCAGTTCAGAGGCGAGCTAGCTTCAATTTCAAGATACGACGTACGGGGGCTGGGCGTATGGGATTCCAAGGAATGAAGTCAAATTGCCGGACGTCGAGCCTTGGAAAATACCATTGGGAAGAATGACCGTCGGTGGGATACCTCGCTCGACTGGTACAGCGACGACCACCGATGCCAGAGCAATCGTCGAAATGAGCGTCGAGACGAGCATAGTGAATGAACGTTACACTCGTTGGCGGGTCGTAAAAGAGAGAACTTGGGTGAATCAAGCTCACTGACGAGGCATGTGCATCCCGTCCTTATGAACTCGCGCAGCGTTTCACGCTGAACTCCCTTGCTCGGTACGGGTGCAAACAAGTGCCGACAATATTTTCAGCATCAATCATCAGAGTGGCCAACTCTTGACCCGTGCCTTACTTTCGTCATGTGCAAAGCGAGCTGAAGCGAGTGTGGAGCTTGTGTGGAGGCCTGGATTCGTATATTTGGACGGATTGCCGACGCGGGGTATAAGTATAGCGTGTGTGTGGGTCGGAGCAAAGGCTATAGAAAGACCTCAAGGTCAGGATCCGTCGTTTAAGAGTGTGATGCCACTTTCCAATCATACGGGGTAGTGTGACGATCGTGCCTGTCGTTTCCTTATAATTAGAGGTTCCGAAGTTGTGTTTGGTTTGAGACGACGACGAGGGAAGGAGGGGACTTCCAACTTCAGGCCGCTTGTGCAGACTTTGTTCGTAAAGCTACCAAAGTCAAAGATCCTGAACTTTTTCGTACTGTAGCCGAAGTGATGTGATGACGACGTGAGAGCGGAGATGATCGACGTGGAGGCAAGATGAGTAACACGTGGCTGAACGTCGCGCGACACCCGCCGGCCGTCGGCACTGGATGGCTCTCTCTTGTTGCACAAATATTATACACCGCAATTACAAATACTAGACATTGCTGTACCCGCTACATCGACGTTGAACAGTACTAATGTTACACTGGCCGCACAAATAAATGCAATTCTTGGACGAGGTCATGGGTCGTTGGTCGTAACTTTGAACAATGATCCCAACACCTTTCTGAGATTGGCCACAAGTTATCAATGATTCCATTTCCTTCAGTCTTCTTCGGTCGCTCCGGTCGTTCACCTTTCATCACTTTCAATGCGACTTCAGAGTCCCGTTTTACATCGCAAAATGGTATATCCCCAGAAATAACCTGGGACAAAGGTTAGGTGTCTTTAGGATCCGCCAGGAAATGTGCGGACGATACCTCAAGGATAACCATGCCAAAGGCGTACATGTCTGAGTATATTGTTGGCCGCCCGCTGATGATATACTCAGGACTCATCCATCGCGTGGTCCCCATTCCTTCAACGAAATGAATATCATCGTCGCCTCTCCATAACTGTGATGAACCAAAGTCGGAGATTAATGGTCGTCCGCTCTGTGTTATGAGGATGTTTGCGAGTTTCAAGTCTCCGTGCACTATGGCTGGCTGCTGATTATGGATGTATTCAACGCCTCTCGCTATACCAAGGAGCTACTGATCCGGTTAGCTTAGAACGTTCAATCATACGGCAGGCTGACCAGTTGGAGAACATCAGGATCCTTTGCGCTCTGAAGGTATTCTTTTGCATTTCCGTATTTCACCCAAGGCGAGACCATATAAGAAGCTAAACCAAGGTTATTTGCAATACCCAGCATAGGCAAGATGTTCGGATGGCAAAGACCGTCCCACAACATTGCTTCACGACGGACGAGCTGTTCGGTATGATCAAAATTTCTGAAAATTGCCGTAACCACGAATTAGGTGCTTGCGCTCACTGTGTTAGCTTCGTTGACTTTCCGATACGAGCGGGAAGTTTTCAGAGCGACTTTATCGATCTCATCGAACGATCCGGTGTAAATGTCACCTCCCCCTCCACCCGTAAAAAATCTCCCAATTTTGACTCGTCCATCCAAATTCGTAGGACACGAAAATCCCACGATATGCTTCGCTAGCCACGATAGAATGCGCTGGCATATTAAGAAGAACCGCATGAACTTCGGTGCTCCATTAACTTGTTCTGCCGCCATGGCTGTTTTCCACCGTAGTCGAAACTGAATTCAGGGATGAGCGCAGAAATGCAATCAGATCGTGATACAGACGAACTCTCTCTACGCTTTCGC